GGAATTGTTGATATATTTAAAAAAGAATAAAAAGGCGAATTTAACGAGAATCCAGTTAAAGGTTTAGCGGTGACTGGTTTCAACTGGAAAAGGAAGTCTCCGGACAATAGGAAAGGTCAAACACGGGCTGCGGCATTTACTTCGACTAATAAACGCGTTCGCGAATAAACGCAGGAGCCGAGGCGACATATCGTTCTTTCGAGCGGCACCACCGGGCACGGGCAGCACGGGTTCATGGTATACAACTTCATTCACAAGTGGTGTATCGTGAAGACAAATTGTGGTTTTCCCTTTCGAGCACATGCCACTCCCAATTAATTCTATCGTCACGTTCTTGAGACTCATTTACGCCCGCAGATATGAAATTATTTGAAAAATTGGAATTCAATTTTAATACATTAAAGAAAGTCTATAGAAATTAAATATAACATTCACAGCTTTTTTAGGCGAAAAATTTATAATTGTAGATAGTTTAGTGTTAAATGTAATTTTTCAATTTTTCTGAATATTAAAAAATAGATTTTAATAAATTAGAAAATTTTGGAAATGAAATATAATATTGTAAAAAATTATAGTTAGCAGATTGAGCAGTTTTGTCAAAAAGAACTCAAGGAACTAACGCAGGTGCAGGTTTGGACCACCTGAGACCCGTTAAGATCGCAGAAAAAGTTAAGAAAATTCTAAGGGACAGTGTTACCTCAGGTCAGGTAAGTTCATCGTATTTACATTCGCTTTCTATGTGTTTCTCTCTAAGACGGAGCAGGTATATGAATTTTTTCCCGCAGTGTTTATTCAGCAAGCAGAATAAAACAGTAAAATACAGGTCACATTTCATTAAAAAAGAAAAGCAATTTATTCCAATGCATATGAGTTTTATTTTAGAATTGCAGTATTAGAAAAAAAAGAGGCGCCCAACTTAAACGAAATCATCACCAGGTGCATCGAAGGAATCGATCGTTGAGTTGAACAGTCGATCGATTATTTCCAATGATCCGATTTTACGTCGTATTTAATATCCATGTCACAGCGTTCACAGGTATTCACTAGTTGAGCGCTGTCTCTTGGAGGATTTTCCACACGTGGTCCTTAGAGTTTCTTCTCTGCGCATGCGTACGCTACTCGGTGCCCCTCCGTGCGGTGTAGGTCTGTAGCTTGTAGTCAGTTGTTCACAGACCGCGGCCGCGTATTATTGTGCGCGTAAGCGAAGAACTGAACTCGAAAGCCGCTCGTGCTTTTCGCGTTCTTTTTTTTTCTCTCCTTTTTATTTCTATTCTATATCGAGAATTTTGCCTTTCGCATTAAGGAGAATCCGCACATGCACCACATACGTCCACCTCGACGCAACAAGTGTACATTTCGAGAGTAACATCTTCATTCCTCACCTGCGAGAGCAATCCTGTAATTCCATCTAAACAAACGGTGTTTGCTCCGACAAAAACGTTCTCGCGTGTATCAAAAAGACACACCGTTTCATCCACGGTCGAACGGTGTACCCTGAGAATCGTGGTGCCGGCTGAACAGTGGAGAGAATAATTGAAGTGTTGAACGCTGTGCGGTGAGAAGGACGGTGCGATGGCAGTGGCTGCGGGGCCACGCCGGCCACGCACGTTCCTCCTCGGTGGTAGACGCGCTTCCGGGAATATTTTCGGAACGAGAAGTCGCCTGTACACGATCCTCGACGGGCTTCCGCTGATCCTAGTTCTCGCTGGTGTTGCACAGGTTGTCGCCAACAGGAAGGGTAAGTGTATCGACCTCCACTTCCTCTCTGGTTAATTTACATTTTTGTTTCGAATGGAGAAAATCTTTCCAATATAATATAACATAACGATATAATATTATGCCAATTAAAATTTGTTCTGCTCATGAAGTGGCGTGTAACAACCTGTTTGCGCAGCATTAGTGCGGTTGCGCATGCATGACGCGCATAGATCGGTGCTTCTCGATATGAATCGTTGATTAATGTAGATAAATCGAGTTTTGTTCTAATGTATATTTTATAACCTTACTAAAAGTGATTTTTCGAGAGCTCACGACTAGTTTTCTTTTTTTTGTGCCGATTAAAGAGTGTACTAGGGGAACCACGAAACAATGCTATGTGCAAAAAGCGCAGAACGTTAGCCAACTCTCCATCATTTGTTACCATTCCACGAACTTTCATGTCAACTAATTACCGATTCTATAAAGTCGAACGCGCGCGTATATACTCTTGCACGCCTTTGTTCCGTCGGATGAATGGAGATCGGTTTGCTTTCATAAACAAGGAGCAATTGAATTTCTTCTTTTTTGCTCTCATGTATACTGCAATTTATTAGTTTGTAACATAAAATATTCATATGGTTTTCTCGGAACCTAATTAGTTACTTATAATTCATCAATTGTTTTTTTTAATAATAGAGGTGAGTGTTCTTATTGTACGTCTTTTTTCCTATTACCTATTTTTCCTTTACTTATTTTCTAAAGAAGGTATCATTGTTCATAAACGTATCATTTCTTTTTAATTTGTACATTTGTGACATATGAAAAATATTTCAAGGGGTGATAAATGATTGATAATACGAAGAAGGAGCTGTTTACCGTGGACGATAGGAAGATGAAAGAATTACGTGGTGATGTAACCTCCGTAACCTCGAAATTACTTTTATGACCCCCTTCAAGGCCATCATTACTCTCCACTTTGAGAAGATACGATTCTCTTTCCCCTTACTTTCAAAGAATACACTCTTACCTCCATCCACTCTAATCAATCAATGTGATTAACCTAAATTGAATAAAAACAAATATTTAAAAATTTTCCATAACCCGTGTTGATAAAAATGATTGTTTCATTGTATTTTGGGTTTTAAACGAAGGTTTATGCCAAAGTGCAATTCCAAGAATGGTTTGATAGTTAGAACAGCTAATCTCGATTTAATTCTGTTACATACGCCATGCTGTCAGGATTGCGGCTGTTTTTCAATCGGAGCATCTCTGCTCACTGCTTTCTCTGCTCCCCGCTAGGTGTGCGACTTATCACGGGTGCTTTTCCTCGGGCGTCCGACTTTTTAAAAATCCCACCTTGCATGAGAATGCAGTTAACGAATCGAGTTGAATTTACCGTTAATTCATTTGCTGTGGCTTTTCTTTTGTGTAACGCGATTCTAATCCATAGTCTACTAAAAGTCATTAGAAAAATGGAAAATCATAGGGTTACGTTACTCGAGATCAGATAGGCTAAGAGTTCGTGAAGTAGTAATTTTCAAATTTTTGTACGAAATTGAAAAAAAAATTTGTTGACAGATTTTTTTTTGTACGTTTTTATTTATGGTTTAATTACGAAACTGTTCTACAAAGTAGAAAGTGTTCCGGCGAGTTCTGAATAAAATGCCATTACGCATTTTTTCGCGGGTGAATATTAAATGGCATAGGGGGAGAAAAAGATGAAAGTAAACATTGACCTTGAGATGCAAAGGTGGGCTTCTGCGAAAGGTGAAACGCAAGAGTCGACCTTTCCGGGTACGAGAAGTTAAATTTAGCTGTGGAAAAATTGACCAGGCTGCCTCTGCGCAGTCGCGATGCAATTAACCAAAAGACGTCGGGCATATAATTTGAAAATATGCTAACTACAAACTTTCTCCATTTATTTTTTGTTGATTATGCTTTAATAGATGATATACAGTTAAAATCTTGGTTAAAAAAAACATATTTAGGTCAAGTTTCACGTGTATATGTTTATGCTTGGATAACAAAAAAAAAACAGCTATTCCACTTAAGTGGTTGCACCATCTGACATGAGACACGAAGAAAATGCAAATGCTGGCGAAATATTTGTAATATTTGCAACGTGGACTCATTTCTCTTGATAAACACAGCATTCATCGAATTAACGTTATATCAAGTGGGAAATTACATTTTTGCAATATTCACGAAGCTGTACGGTCACTTTAGGTTGACTGTGACACGGATACATGTCTTCAACATTTTGACGCGTTTTCTTATTCCCTAATTCGTCCGTGGGAGAAGCAACGAGAACTCAGAGGATCGTGGCAGCAAACGAAATAAATACAGAAGAACGCCGCATGGCCACGCAATCTTTATGAAACCGGTTTCACTTGTAGCCTTAGTTTGCGTGTAAGATGATCGGGGTTTTTTGAGAACTGAACGATCTGCCTGGTTTTCATGTGACTATTTGCGACAAAAATTTTCAATCACCATAACATGGTTACAAAAATCGAAGAAAAAGTATCTTATATATTTCTATAATCAATTACACGTGTTGTCGATCGATATTGTCTTTTTTTTTCACTAAGGATACAGTGGATGACGAATTTGAATTGGTTACGTTTAATTAGATATCACTCGATATTCACCTGAACGATCGAGTGATCAATACGATCGGGGGCTACCGTGATGCGGCGCATCTAATGCGCCGTCCACACAGGTCCAAGTTTTATAGAGAGAGAAAAACCGGTTTTTCGGACTCGTAGTAAACACGACAAGGAGAGTGCTCCGAATTCTCGAAGATTCCTATTTCTTCAACTTTTTCCAGATTCCATTTTGAGATAGTTTACGAAAATATTCCACGTTAGAGAATTCTAACATTCTAACTTCCATCTGGCATTATTGTTTGTAATTTCTGCATACTCTGTCGATAATATTGCGTACTTAAAATAAAAGTTACCATAAGATATTTATTTTATTACCAATGGCTGCTTTTTAAAACATAATTTGCTAATTAATTGTTCATTCAGTAATAGTGTTGTTGTGTGCTAGACACAGTGTAAGTTCAGTATAGCACTCTGCGTATAACACTGATTAGATTTATTAAACTCTTACTAATAATTCAGTACAGT